AAAAAAAAAAAAACCCTAAAAAAAGGCTTAAAAAGAAAAAAAATAACAAAAAAGAAGTGGAGGTACCTATTCGCTCATGGTATTCGGAATAGATAGATTATTATTGTTATTATTATAGGGAAATACTCAACTCGTGATTGATCAATGTGAATGATTTGTGACACTACTATTTCAGTTGCCTTCACCACTTTAAGAAAGTCTCGTATTACAAGTTAAAAGAATAAAAATAAAAATAAAAAAGAGCTTCCAATGACAATGAAACAGAAATGATTTACAATACTTTCTGTAAAAACATATTTACATGTATACGATATGTATATTCACCTATGGTCGGCTAATTACAAACTTTCTTACTTTAATTTCACTCGAAAATTGTAGTAATTTAATAACCAATTATTAACAATTTGTTCGATTCTGGTGAATTAAATGGGACTAGAAGAAAAAGGTGTGCAACTCCCTAAGACTGATTTACTAGCCAGCACTAGCAGTCTGTATATTCAATTTTGTTATTTTCCGCCATCCCAATTAGTTGGGTTTTGGAGGCAATCAAATTTGTATTACCTTATTACCACTGTTTCAATGCATCATCTTATATGCAAATCCAGCTTTTCTACAACCTCATCCTGTTAATCTCTGGTCCATTCTACCAAACGTATTAACAGAGAAGCACGCGCACACACCACAGTTTGTGTCTAAATCTGCTAAATCATGAGTTACTCTATACGCCTATTTCTAGACTGACTAACTGATGCATGTTTAGAATTTTGAAAGCAAAGAAATTTCTTGGCCTTCAAGAAGGATCTGCAAGGAGGGTTGATCCTTACTTTCGCTAGCTATAGGTTTAACAACAGAAAAGATGCAAATTTTCTGATCCACTTGCAACTGTTACACTGCCGAACAGTTCGGTGCCCTTGTACAGTCAACTGCAAAATTTTATCAATGAAATTTGAATGAAGATGAAGACTAATACTAAGAAACCAAGACTCGTTTGCTAATATAGTTCAACATGTAAAATGTTCAACCGTCAAGACTCGACTAAAAAAGTTCTGCATGTGAATGTTCAGCAGTAATGCCTTCCAAGTCCTTAAAGGGCCAAGCTAGTCTCAAAACCAACTACGATTTCACAGTATCTTCTCGAGGTCTCCACAGTCCCACTCTATACTTGTGGGTATATTTCAGTATCAGTTTCCTCTGGAGTACAAAGATCAGAACGGAACTATTAGTAAGCAACGAGAAGATGGAGGGAAAGATGTAAATCATAAAATAAAGCAGAAAAACTCTCCAAACATAAACCTAAGGGAAAGTTCAAATTTCATTCATCTTTTCATGAAAAACAATAAAAATAATAATAAGTAGCAGATACAAGCGAGTTTATAACGAATATGGTTCGTGTTACAGTGTAGTAATACTGAACTTTAAAAAAAAAAAAAAAAAAAGGAAAAAAAGATGAGCACATTTTTTGAACAGAAAGGAAAGTGCAAATATATAGCAAGCCCACAAAATTACAGAGCAAGAGCATACAATTCGACAAATGAGATAAACAAAAACGAAAACAATTAAACAATGACACATAAGCTCATTGAGCGATCATCTCTAGTCTAAACTACAGCAAATTGTTTCTCCCCAGAAAATGAAATAAGGCTTGTGATAAACCTACAGATATCTAATCTAACAACAAAGATCACCTGCTTCGGCAATACATTCATATTTGGCTAATACTTCCAGTCTTCCATCAAGTCTCCTTTTTTTTTTTGGCTAGAAAAAAGTCTCATGTTTCTTTCTCCATATATGAATAGGTATAACTCATAGCTCTTCAAGAAAGAAAGATGCCGATTTTCCAAAATATATTACGCACCAAAACTCGGCAACCTAACCCACAACAGCTCTATTGCAACATTATAATGTCAAAACTTGCCGGAAGGTTCTTCAACATAACTACACTATAGAAGGCAATGGCTTCAGGTTTATTCTACAAATTAAGAGACACATCAACTGTTCCCAGAGTATCGTTGTTAAACCTATGATTTAGGATCGCCTACGAGAAGCATGTCAGTGTATTATATTTTTCATAAATCCTATCCCCAAGATGTAATCATTTTGAGACCAAATTTCTAAAACCTATATGGCAAGAAAGACTATAAATCAGTAAAAGATAGATTTTCAGATGTTTCTGCATGTTCAGTTGCACGAGTGTGCATGTATCGCAGAGTGACTAACAGAGTTTGTTTTGTAAAACATTACATGTTTGCAAGGGACGCCAAGCTTCTTGAGCTTAAGAGTGCGAGTGACAAGCAGCTTCTGGAAGTCACCAATCTCAGATTCAAGCTTGGGCACATGGGTTTCTACTCCTTTGCCTATTCCCTTAAAAAATTCTGGTATTCCAACTTTTACTGCAACAAAACAACTACTCCTTTTTAGTTTCTTCTTGACTTACAAGTTACAACACTAATTTGTTCATAATACAAAAATGATTTTCTCAAAACCCTCAATAACCAAATAAAACTCATAATAATTCACCTTTTAGGAGACAAGACTTACTCATTCGAGCACAAAATAATCAGATGCTAAAAAAAATATATATATATCCAAACTACAACCATTGATTTTTCAGATTCTTCATATTATGTGGTATTTTAGCAAAGAAAATTTTAAAAAAGAGGGGGAAAAAACTTCAGTAACCTACTTTTTAACTCCTAGAAATACCTAAAACAAAGTGAAACAAAACCCAAAATTCATTTCGACCATTCTTTTGCTTGCATCGATTTCCAAAGCAACCAAACAATAACACAGTTCTACGTCAACTAAACTAAAAACCCTTTATTTCTATTCCAATTTCTACGGAAGATCAAGCATCAAAATTCACGAAAAAGAAAAGGAGAAACTTTTCGTTCCTTTTTTTTTATAACGAAGCAAACGGAAAGTGAGAAAATCGAGTAAACGGAGATTAAACTATGGACGAAACTTGGATTACCTTCATAAGCGATTGATTTGGAGAAGAATCTAGAGAAACCAGGCGTAGAACGTGCTGCGGAGATTGCAGTATTGTTGAAGAGTATTTGCCTCCAGGTCATCTTCTTCTTCAACCGTCTCTCTCTCGAATTCGATAATAGTGGTCTTTGGGTTTTTCAGTGACAGTGCGTCGCCGTTTTTTCTTTAAAAAACTTTTTAATTTCTAAATAATTATTTGGCTTTTTTGTACGGATGCCCTTGAACTATACGTATTTAGTAATTGAGTCCCTCAATAAAAGAAATTGTGGCAATCAAATCAATCCCATAAATTTTGAAATCTTGGCAAAATTATTCCAATTAATAGCGGTGTAAAAAAAAATTAAACAGGTTGCTCCATGTGCCCTCACGTGAGCCTTTTATGAGATACAAATATGGTAATTTATGTGGTTTTTAGTACGAGGATTTGTGTTATATTTCGTGACTTATTATAATATTTTTTTTATAAAAAAATACACATAAATTAAAAATAATTCTGAATTATAATTTTGAATCATAGATCAATATTATCAAAACATATCGTTCAAAAAAGAAAAGGAAATAAATTAAAAAAAAAAAAAACCTTGTCCTTCGTCGCTTTCGTTTCCAAAACCTTACATGCAAAACCAAAAAACGACACCAGTAAATCCCTTGATAAATCAGACTCATACTAACTATACGCATGGGTGAAAAGAAAGAGAAACAAAATATATATATATATATATATATTGTTTTTTGTTTTATGAAAGGGAAACAATATATATATATATATATATATATGTATTGTTTTTTGTTTTATGAAAGGGAAACAATATTGTCTATTGAAGAAATGGACAGGTTTTACTTTCTATTTCTTCTAGCACTTGGGCACCACGGCCCGCGTGTTGTCAGTGTCTTGGAGGCCACACAAGAGTGGTACACGGGGAGCAGCGGGCGGCGTGATGAAGGGCCATGACAACTGGTTCCATTTGGGTTTGAAAAAGCCATAGTCTCCAGTGATTCCTCCTTCAGAGGCGGCGATAATGGGATCACCAGTTTCTGGTGTGGCTTTCTGAAGAAGAAACGAAGAATAGGGTTTAAAAAAAAAAAAAGAATAGCGTTTTTTTTCTCTTTTTATTTTTTTTATTTTTTTTATTTTATAGATTTTGTTAAATTCCGGAGTTGTCTGTGATAAATAACTCACGTGAGGAGTGCTTGTGCACTTCGTTTAATTTTTCTAATGGCAGCAACAATTGGAGTGATTTTGTCAAGATTTTAAAGTTTAAGGAATTGATTACTACAATTTTTTAAGGGAATAAGTTGTCAAATGCGCATAATTCAAGAAGCATACATACAAAAAAAATCGTCATTATTTGATATGTATATATTTGAAAAATATGTTGTTTCTCGTTAAGTTAAAAAAAAGTTTTTTTTTTTTCTTTTATAAGGTTTCGGTTTAAGGTTTTTAAATACATATATTTTTTGGTTAATTTGAACTTTAGCTCACAAAGAATACTCCTTGTATCACTTTCTCTCTAGATTTTCAAATGTCACATTAATGACCCATGAATTTTAGAACATTGTGTTTTTAGTCCTTTCGTGACAAAGTCGTTAAAAATGGACAAAATACGCATGTAGACGCACGCGATGCTTTTAACGAGGATAATTTACTAAAATTAATTCAACATAATTTCAATTTTAGCCTTAAAAAATATTAGGTGTCTCACTTTATAAAAATGTCATAATAATGCAAAAATTGAGACACACATATTTCTTAAGGCCAAAATTGAAATATCATTCTCGCAGATGCCATGAAATGTTAACATTAAACATTCAAATGTGGGATTGAAAGTGCAAAATTTATAAAGCTCAAGATCATTAGCATTGATATTTGAAAGTTTAGAAGGTAAAGTGTGATCCACTACAAGAGAAAGGGGTTTTTGCGACGATAAAAAGTCGTCGCAAAAACTCGCAAGTCGTTGCAAATAAGGTTTTTTGCGACGACATTTTATCACAAATTGTCATTGCAAATAAATTATTTGTGACAACATAGTGTCGTCGCAAATGTATTTGCAACGACAATCGTCGCTAATACGTTGTCGCAAATTTCTCGTGATATGATCCATTTTTGCGATGACATTTCAAATTGTCGTCGCAAATAATGTTATTTTTTTTTGTGACGACGAGTCTAAAAAAGTGGTTGCAAAAAAACCGAAATTAATTTTTTTTATATTTTTTTAAAAAATGGCAATTAATTAATTTTTAATTAAACATTATTATGTTACATACTGAATAGAATTTATTAAGGTACATTAAAAGTGAAATATAAATTAATATTAAAAACAGTAAATCTAAATAAATTTATAAAATATATTATGAATACTATATGAAGTGCATATATAATGTTAAAAAAAAATATAAAAGTCTAAATAAAGTGAAAAATAAAAAAAGTACATATAACGGAACTAATCGTCTAAGTTTGTAGCATCGCCAGCATCTGAATCATCATCATGACCATCATCATCTAAAGGAGGCAGATGAGTGTCTAGGTTAACTGGTTATGGACGATCAATCGTAGGTAATTGGATGTTGGGCTGCAATTTAGCCACCAACTTTAACACCTTCACTTGATTCTCATAAATCTTAACTTGTTCCCGGTATGATTTCTCTAAATAACGACTCATACGTGGGTCAGGTTGAGCCGATAATGTTGCGTTCGAGTATGAACCAGCAGATGAAGAGAAGCCTCGAAGTAATGCTTTTGGGAGAGCGTCGGACCCACTCCTATCTTATGTCCTTTACGCATGCCAAGAACCTGCTCCAAAACCCCATGCTTGTCAAAGGCGGGTCTAGTTGAGCTTGAAGTAGACTGTGTTCTTTGCGTTTGAGTCCCTTTTCCTTCTCGCGAACCACGGTTCCACCCTATTCTCAGCTCTACTACGATTAGTGCCTCTAAAATTGCAGAGAGTTTTTGAACACTCTCGGATGATCAAGTATTACCGGGTACTCCGAAGATTTAGGAAGAAAGTCTTCTTTCCTCCTCCAGGGTGTTCTACATAATAAGACATTATAATTATTTATATGTGTTATAAAATCACTATTTCAGTACAACAAAATTTAATATGAAAAATAGAAATACTTACAAAAGTCTGTTCCGCTTAGAGATTAACCCAAGAGGCCCCGCGATGATGCATGTCCCCCCAATTGTCTATGACAAACATCGGCTCTTGGGTCTCCGTACTGACCTGTCAAATAAATTGCATTTGTTAAAATTCTTAAATTCTAACTAAATTTCGGCAGCATAACGGCTTATTTTTCATATGATCCAAAAATCAAAACCTGTAAAAAAAATAACTTTAAAAGATTTTGGCACACCATAGCTGCAAGATGTGCCACCTAGAACAATGACTTCGTTTTAATGAAGTGGAAAAAATAACTACTAACCTTCTTATTGCGATGCTGAGAGTACGATATTCGACCATGTAAGCTTGGATACTTTTGGTTGCTACGATTAGTTTTATTTGTCTATGATATTTTCTGTTTATGATTAACTATAATAAGTAATAGTAAAATTAAGCAAATTATGTATAAAAAATCATCAAGTTGTAACAAATCTATAATTACTTGAAATTTGTCAGTGGAGAACCTATCGCAACAACGATCCTAATGAAGTGGATTCCTCATGTTACTCGGGAGACTGTCTCTATCATAGCGTTTGAAATGGCGGTGCAGGGAACTTTTCCAGTTCTTGTAGCACTTTTCTACCTCCCTATCACTACGGACCTCAGAATACCGTTCTTATAGTTGTCGTCGATGTTAAACCAGTCCTTGCAAAACAGTTTCACATCGTTAAAACGCATTGTTATGTTTAACTTTAGTATAAACTATACAAATTATTAAGCAAAACAAATACCAGCATCCGGTCTTGAATTGTTCTCTTGTTTATGTCGCTAATGTCCTTCCAAGCATCGTGAAAGGGCTCGCATATGTCCCTGGTATGAATACCAGCTGCACTATCAAACCAGAAACTATATTTACCAAGCGCCTTCTAAGTACCTCCCGCCTCATCAAATTATACTGTGATTTTACCGTCTTGAGGGACCTTTTGGGCGATTTCATGACATTTCGCCCCACCTCGACCTCTACGTTGTCGAGGTTCAGGTACTATAAGCATATGTAAACATTTCAAATCAACATGTACTACTACATTTATTTATTATATGATAGAACGAGAAAAAAGTCAGAATAACATACTAGACTCACATAATGCGGGGAGTCTGTGAGGACCGGGAGGAGGCTGCGCTCCCCCTGAAGAGCTAGCGCAAGTCGCTATCGGACCAGCCATGGATGCCTATGAACAAATTCATATTAATAACAATATTTATAAATTCACAGAAGATCATAATATTAAAATGAAATCATGAGAAAAATAATAATTACTATACATAAATTCTACTCATCGTCGTTGCTACATTGTTGATTGTCGCCATCATCATTTATGTCATCATCGTCTTCAGATTCGATGACTTCCTCCTCAATGTACTCCTATAAAGTTTCATCGTCCTCGTCATTAATAAATCATCAACTACGGGAGATTTATCTTTCATAATTGCATCAACATCGGAGGTGACAACATTAGATGATACATCATGTCGATTCAATACAAATGAGCTAATCTCTGGTAGTTCCACTACTAACTTAATATTTGTAGACTCCGTATCCTGGACTATCATCACATCATCAATGTCAGTTTCTGGAATGTCCTAAATATGTCGATGTCTAAAGTGGTCTACAACCTTTCAGTTTGGACCGTTAAATAAATCGCCTACGTAAAAAACTTACTCTGCTTGAGATGCAAGTATGAAAGGTTCATTTCCGTACCACGTGTCTTTAATAAAAATACTTATTCTATTTTTGTAGTGTTGAATCCTTTTCTTTTCCGGATGAGTGTCAACCCACAGACATTTAAAAAGCACAATAGAATTGTCGTTCAAGTAAGACAGTTCATAAATATCCTCCAAAACTCCATAATACGTTAGGTTATCAGGTCCGCGAACACAAACACCACTATTTTGAGTACTTACATTCATATCCCGATTGCGTATCAGAAACTTGACACCGTTCACCACACAATCAGGATAACTTCGATATGAAAAG